CATCAACGTTTGCGAATTTTTTATTCCTTTGTTTTCGTTTCATTGCATGGTCAATGACATTCCCTATTTTAATGACTCGAAGAACTGTCGAACGAGATAGTTTCGTTAACTCGCATATTCTATTCACAATATCATTCTGTGAAGTGTGACAGTTTTCCTTCTTCAAGCATTCATGAATATTAAAAATTACTTGCTGATTTTGAACATGTAAGTCCTTATTTTCAAATTCCAGATCCCTGTCGATTGACACAGATTCCTTACACGTCATGTTAACATTTGTTTCAAAAGGTCTCCAGAAAGCATATTGATGAAAGTACCCAAAAACACTAAGATTTTCACAAAAATCGGTTTAAACGATGATAATGGAACCTTAGCTGTACAAGTAGAAAATGATCTAGTCCGTTTTTCAATCTATTGTTGACAAATTAATTTGCAGGTAGTGGTTACACTAGGTGATTACCGAAAAATCAATTAGGATAATCATCATTTAACAAACAAAGTCCACATCGGACCAAAAAACTTTGGGTGTATAAACAGCTAACCCTTGTATTTAGATTCGGCATCAATCTCCTGAAAATGCTAACCTTCTTAGCGAAACGCGCGTCGAGTGCAAAAATATCAGTTTGGTGTTAGGGTAATTGATCTCTAGAAAAAGTTTCCAAAAATCGGTTTGCAAAACCACTCACTACCTCACCTAACCCCACGAACACACGGAACTGATAAAGAAATATTGTGAAACGGACAAAAAATTAGTATTCAGTCAGTCCCGCTAACCAAGCCTTTATTCCTCAACTACATTTGATTGCACGTTTACTAATTATCTGGGCGACTAGGGGCCACAGGCAAGAAATGTTTATGACTGAACCAGGGGCGCTTTGAACATAAAAGCACTGGTAGTATACACATTTCCCATTTGCCGGGCAGTGATAATGAACACCCCTCGTAGGGGTGTTCCAATTGGGAATGGATAGACTATAACACTGAACCAAGGATTCAGAATTTAGTGAAGAGTATGCAATAACAAAAATCGCATTCATTTATAATGCAACTTTTGTTAGTTACAGATTCTACCTAATGATTGAAGGACATTGAATAATTTGCGTATTTTATTTATAGATGATTTAGAACAACAATTCCATTTATTTACTGTGCTGTACTGTATTTATTTGTTGTTATCGTAAGGCACTTTATATTAACTACAAACTAATTTACCAACTTGGTGGTCCATGGCCTGACAGAAATTTTGTCAAATGGTCCCACATGACTATAAGGTTGATAACCAATGAGTTAATTGATGTACCATTTTAATTATGTATAGATGATACCTATTGCTCTTCAAAAGTCCCCACACAGTAGAAGTAGACACCCCACAAACATTCGCGACGGAATAAGTAGACTGTTCAAGATATACTACCATTTCACCAATTATTGCACTTGCTGTTCTTTTGTGGAGGCTTTTTGTTATATACACTACCGGCAGTTGTGAGATTGGATACAAGTTCCCTCAAATATTTTCTATAGATAGGACGTTCATTGAAAATTCTTTCGGTCTCGTGAAAATCACGCGTCGCACCGTAAATAGAAATCGCTTTAATTTTTTCTTCCAATGGACGAGAATTGATCATTTCAACTAGTAAAACCCAAGACTGAATGAGAATATTCTAACTGAATAATGATGTTCATTGTCGTACTGACATTTTTTGTCGTTTTTATAAACAAAAAATAACTTAACAAACCTTAGCGGGTTGTTGGAATTGCCACATGGCAGATAAAAGTTTATGTTCAATATTATGACAATTAAATTTTTTGTGTAATTTTCGGAAGTGTCTCTGATTTTTGCAGTTTGTATTTTTTAAATTAAAATCGTTGTGAGAGCTACCAGAATTGCCTCCGCGAGCTACCGGTAGCTCGCGATCGACAGGTTGGCGACTACTGATATAGACTCTGACGATAAGTTCCAGTACCTACTCCTAGCAATGGAACGTGTTTCAGGTGCAATAGAGTTGGCTGAGAGGTGAATGGAAGGCTGGCCAACCCAAGTGACGCAGTCTTCAATGTTCATGACCGATTCAATATTGCTATTTGAATCTTCTACTGCTCAACCCATCCGACCCATCAACCCATCCCAATTACATTTTCTAGGCTGATGCACAATTCCACATATATAAAAATCATAAATCAATTTTGAAAAGAAATGAATACTACTTGATTCCAGGTAAAAATCTTCATCCTATTGACCTAACGAGACTGAATTTTGCGCCTTCAATTTTAAGGTTCATTATCAGAGGTACATTTTGCCATAATATCTGAATCAGGTAAAAAATTTTCAGTTACATGTTGGGCCCCAAATATAGATGAACACTTTTATGTCCATATCCATGTATAGAGTAGGTATACAAAATTTCGATATAGAACGATACAGAATGATATTTCAATATCGATTCAACATCGATATTATACAGGGTGTTTCAAATTCGATCCTCGCCATTGGGAACTCGGAAACTGTGAGAGATTCAGAAATGGTTATATTGGGGCAGAATTGCGCACCTACCTGACTAATGATATGCCGTTGGTAAGTTCTGAAATTTTGAGGTAATCCGGAGATACTCGGAAAAAACAGAAATTTCGAAAAATGGGTCTTATTTTTTTCTGGCTTCATCTCTTGAAGGATTCGAAAATAAATTGCACTTTTTGCCACTTTTTTCCTGCTACATAATGGTGTTCACATATTTGCAATCCGACGTTTTGTCTTCCGGCCACCATCATTAATTTTATTTTTTCTTACGTGTGCTACATTGGATTCCTTCTGTTTTGAATAGGATCACATTTAACCTTTTCAATGATGTATCAAAAGTTATCATTCTTTATCGAAAAGTTGGAGACATTGAAAAAAATTAATTCTAATCCTAATAGGCTTTGACTTTGATGTTTCTAAATTTGACTTTCAATTTGTTACACTCTGTTATTATACAAGTTATTGAATTTTTGGCGAGAAATGGCTTTCACGAATGGAGAAGGAAAGAAAGATATGGTTCAAATTTATTACAAATACGATAGGAACAGTGTTAGGACATCGGAAATGTATTCAAACTTGTATCTCGAATGACGACAACCACATCGAATTATGTTCAAGTTATTAGATCAAAATCGCACTGAGTTTGGTTCGTTTGCCAATGAAAAAATACGAAAACAGAATCAACAATCAAAGTTTGATAAATGAGGTGTGTATGAGGTGAATTAGACATTGTTTTCTCTTCAATAACAATAGAACTTTGAACAAATAACAAGATTTAACTGAAATTTGAAGATTAAAGTAAATCACAGCAAATACTCAAAATGCTGGCCTCGTTCATGATAACACAACTGTACCCTTCTTCGAATATCATTCACTTCACGAGTAATTTCCCTTCTCCTCAATCTTTCGAACTCTCTAACAATGCTGTGTTGAAGGTCGTTAATATTTTGATATTACCACTGACCATAAACTTTATTTTTCAGTAAACCCCATAAGAATGTATCCATAACAATTAAGTCTGGATACCTTGCTGGCCACCAAACCAGCCCATTATTCCCTATCCATTTATCACCAAAGCTTCCATTCAGGTTATTAGATACTCGTCTGTTAATGTGGGGTGGAACGCCATCATGTAGAAACCAGATGTTGTTATAGTTGGTCAAAGGTAGATCCTCCAAATACTCTTCGCAAATCGTAATAAAAAACTGGTGGTGAGTTTCTCCATTCGGAATTCTGTCTAATACATGGAGACCCAAAATTATATCTTTGTAAATTCCTGCCCACACGTAAATACTAAATCGCATTTGAGGTCGAATTTCCCGGACTTTCCTGGGGTTGTTTATGCTCCAAATGTGTTCGTTATGTCGGTTGAATATCTCACAATTCGTAAAAGTGCTTTCATCTATCCAAATTACATTTTCCAGGAAACTCAGGTCTTCTTATTATCCAATTACAAAATTCTAATCGCCTTTCGGAATCACCTGGATGAAATTTTTGAGGTATGTGTAATTTGTAATATTTCAAACCGCTTTTTCGAGATGTTTCCAAGCATTTGTATAAAAAATATTCA